ATCCATATAAATGACAACTATAGTCGAAAATTGGTCGAATCATTGAGCGATAAAATAGCAATGCAATATTCGGGTCAGCTCCCCAACTGGTTTTACAAAATGCTCTAAGAATATTCATGGAGTTTTCCGATTTTTTTATAATAGAATGAATTTGATCCTTCCTTAACAGTTTACGATCCAAATATGTGCTTAGATATTTTACACAATTTTTGATTTGAAATTCTATTTTTCCTAATTTAAAGTTACCTTGAGGAGTTTGGCGTTTTTGAAAAAAAAAACAAATTTCAGTCTTTGTAGTTGATATTGATAAGCCTAGAGAATAGTAATAATTTTGTATAAAATCTAGTGTAGATTCGAGTTGACGCCTACAAATGTCAAGGTTAGTATGGAAGGTATACAACACAACATCATCTGCAAACTGCAATATATTAGAGTGTGAAGGTACTATCTGTTCTAGATCTATATTGTACAATGAAAAGAGAAGATGACCTAAAATACCACCCTGTGGTATACCTATATTCGTTAGCCTTGGCGCTAAAAGTGTCTCATTTATTTTAAAGTAAGTTCATCTATTCTTGTACAAGGATATAATGAAATCTGAAATTTTAACTGAAATTCCAAGATATATAAATTTCTTACGTAAAATATATAAACTAGTGAAGTGAGAGCATCCTGTGTAGACCTGGATTTCCGGAAGCCATATTGAGATTTTTGAAGGATATCTTCGGATTCAAGTAAATATTCAAGACGATTTTTGATTAATCTCTCTAGAGTTTTTAGTATATAAGAACTTAAAGATATAGGTCTGTAAGACTCAACGTTGTTATCTGGCTTTCCTGGCTTCTTTATAGGCAATACAATATAGTCCTTCCATGTTTTGGGAATTAAATTCTTATTTAACCACATATTGTTAAAAATTTGTAATAATAATGGTTTGTATTCTGTGGGTAAAAAATATAACATAGAGTATGATATACACTATACAGTCCATCCCTGGAGACAAATTATTATTTTATTTGAGTCCATAATTTAATTCCCACAATTCAAATGGTTTTTCTAGATTGAAGTATTCTCTGGAACCGGTGACTGTAGCTTCGTTTATTTGATTTGGTACCGAAGGAGGTGAAATTTTCAAGTGGAAATCCTCTATCCATGCAGCTTCGCAGTTTATCGGGAGTTTATTGGACTGTTTTCGATTTTTGTAGCGATGTACTTTCTTCCAGACGTCGCTGATTGGACTGTGGGAGTTAAGGCTTTCGCAGTAGTTTATTCAACTTTGTTTTTTTCTATTTTTAAAAATATTCTTTGCTAATGCATCAAATTTTTTGTATTCAATTAAATAATGAATATTGGGATTTGTTTTATAACGTCTATAGGCTACTTTACGGTTATTTGCAGCTGTTTCGCAGTTATTATCCCACCATGGTTTTGAAATCTTTTCTGTAGGATATTTTTTTATTTTTTGATACTTCTGGAATAGCAATGGATGCGCATCTGTTTATTTCATTAACTAATTCCTCATAAGTTTGAGGAAGTTTTTCTGAAGAAAAGTTGGATGAATACAAATTCCAATTTGCTTTATTTAGATTTCATCTTTTTTGTATATTGTTACCAGGTGGAGTTGCTTGTTTGGGATTTTCTAAGGAGATGGTCAAGGGTAGATGATCAGAACCATGTGGATCTTGAATAACAGACCAAGTTAATTTAGATATAATGTCCTGGGTGCAAATTGTTATGTCGATTGCTGATGGACTGGAACTCAGGGCAAGAGTTAGAGAACCATCATTTAAGTATAATAGATTACATTGTTCTATCGCCTCTAATAAAACTTTACCGTGAGTATCATTGGTTTCGCATCCCCATGCCATATTGTGAGCGTTGAAGTCCCTCCAATGATGAATGGCGGAGGAATGTGTTGAAAAAAATGGATCCATTCTTCAACTGTTACTCTAATACGTGGTTCTTTGTATATGGATATTATATGTATAGGTTTATTGATACAAGAAAGTTTAACAGCCATGCATGTGTAAGTAAAATTATCGTTATTTAATAAATTTATTTCTTCTGCAATTATTTTATCTTTAATTACAATTGCTGTACCTCCATAGCCATCTGGGCGATCAGATCTAAAGCAATTATAACCAAGGAAGTTATAGAATATTCCTGGTTTAAACCATGTTTCTGATAACATGGCCACATACACATTTTTTTGAATAAGTAAGGCTTCTAAATTTGGTTTATTAGAAACTGCTGAGCGGCAGTTCCATTGTAAAAAATTTATAGGACTATTTATGTCTGAGAAGATGACGTTTGTCCATGTAAGTCTTCTTGCGACATCGATGCCGTACTTAAGTATTTATTAATTTGTTGTATAATCTCTGTTTTTGATTTGTCTAAATTTTCAGTGAGTTTTAATGGACTAATTATATTAAAAACCAATTCTAAAATTACATTATTTAAATCTAATGGTACTTCTTGTGTCTCCAAATTTGTTGTATTTCTATTCTCTGTAGATTTAGAGGTATTATAAATACCACCTTTTTGTCTAGGAATATTTATTGGGGAAATTATTTCTTTTCCAGCTGATTCCAAAGGATCGGGAGTACTTGGACGTTGTCGTTTTAAATTTGATTTTTCTGGACTACTGCTGGTATAAAACATTTGTGAAAAGAACTTTTTTGCTAACGTACCAGTTTGATTTGGAGTTACTTGATAAGACTGATCATTGGTATTAGAGTTGGTTGGCAAGGAAGAACTATTATGTCTAGCAGCGATATTGGCATATGATTTTTTCGGTATTTGTTTACATGCGCCAAAGAAATTTAAATTTAATGATGACATTGTATTCCTGATTTGTTTTTGCCTAGAAAACTCAGGGCATGCACTTAGGTGTGTCGTAAAATGACTACCTTGACAGCTCAAACAGGTAGGAGTACGTATATTTACTGTACAATCTTTTGTTTTATGAAAATCATGACATGTATTGCACCTGGGACGTACTTTACATTGAGATCCAAGATGTCCAAAACGAAGGCAAGAGAAAAATAATAAAAATTTTTGAACGTAGGGTTTGACTTCTTTAATTACTTTATTAATTATGATATATTTTGGAAGAGTTTGTGCTTTAAAATTTACAATACATGATTTGGTTGGAACCTTGTCTATAACTGTTTTATCTTCGATATGTTTTTCTACCTTTCTATTTATTCTTCGAACTGAAGCTACTTCAAACTTACAGTGCATATCGTATTGTTTAATTTTATTTTTAATGTATTCCTCAGAAAATTCAGTATCCATATCTCTAATTATACCCTGTCTATGTAGTATAAACTTCGGAACGTAAACATCAATACTGTAGTTTGTAAATAATGAGCAAGTTTTTTGATTGAATAAAAAATTGGCTGATTGATAGTCTTTAAATTTAATTCTGATTCTATTCTTGCCGATTGAATCAATACTAGTAATTTTGTGATCTAAATTTGTAAAATTTGACAGTATAATATCACCGATTTTGATAGCATTTATCTTACCTTTAAAATCAGGAGTATTATTTTCTATATATACATGAAAAGAACCTGTATCACTGCTCTGATATAGAAATTGTTCTCTTACATTTTCTGTAGAATTATTAGAAGTTTTACTACTTACAGTTTCTCCGTTGTTTTTTGAGTTACCGTCTCAGGTGTTGTTTATGTTGTTACATTTATTAACACTTATCGTATCCAAACGGTAACCACCAATGGGGGTAAAATAAATTCCAATACACTAAACTTTTATATTTTTCTAAGCCACAAATTGTTTCACAAAAACCTTTTCAAAGGCCACAACTAGACTCTTTCAATTCAATAAAACTTTAAACTTTAAAATGCGGAAAGTATTTAAAAATGAGTATCCACACTTTGACAGTTGAGCATCTCAATTAATTAAAGATGAATGTTTATACAATTAGACAATTGAAGCCACGAATGAAGTTACCTAACAAATTATTAAGACTTATAAAAGCGGCAATGTGTAAAGTATTCTGCATAGTGTAATTCAAGGCAATTTTTCGTAATCCTTTTAATATTACACTAGAGAAGACTATAAAGTCTGTGTCAGACGGTCAAATGTTTGATCAAACTACACTCACCGGCACGAGAAACGAAGCACTTGCATTTTTAAAATAAAATCTTAAAATTTTAATTCTCTTTAAACTTTTATTATTTTAAAGTGTAAAAACTAAGTGTTTATCCGAAAAAAATGCATAAAAAATCAGAAATAAAGAATATACTATTCCTATCATTTTTAAAAGTGCACACGTAGCTGTTGATATTCTATTGTTATTCTTTTGTTCTTGTTGAGTAAACTGTCAAGTCGAAGCAAGTGTCAAACACACTTTGAAATTGAATTGCGTTGATTTAATCTCAAGAATTATGGTCGTAAATCCCGAAACAGCGGCTGCTTTTGTTGCGTTGATTCAAGACGGAAGAAGTGAGCGATATGTTGCTCGCTCAAAAGTATCAAATATTCAATAGTACTGCATCGTATTTTTACACGTTTCAAACGTGTTCAAAACATAAACTATGCTTATTAAAATGTTCTTTAGAACACTTGCCGCAACTTGCCAATACAGCATTGGAGAAGGCGATGTCTTATAGATAAGGTTTATAAGAAGAAAGGTATAGAAATGGCAGAGGCACGTAATATCCTTCATAAAAATAGATAAATTAACATTTTCAAGACCTGTATCAACAATTTTAAATAAACACTACTTTCCCAGATAAATTATATTACCAATGCCCGTGAATAGTAGCTACACATTTACTGTAGACAAGGACGCAAGGAAGATTGGTGCGTTCAATTGGCGACTATTATCAAATATACAAATTAAACAATATTAGATCATTTATATAGTATCGCTTTCATTAAGACCAAGGAAATGGCTATATATTTCGTTCTTTTTCTTGTCTTTTCATTTAGTCGTACAAAGTATTCGAGTGTTATATTCTTTTTTGTTCTAGATACAACAGCGATGAACCCCCAATTCCATGTGCAAATTCCTAGAACGTCTTCAAACAAATGCCACGTGGTTGTTTCGATTACACAATATTATGAAACGAAAGAATTTGATGTAAAGAAGAAAAAAGCCCTTTTTGCAATAGGTTTTGCAGTTTATGAAGTACCAAATTCAATGCAGAGACTAACTTCACATTTCGTCAGCGACCAGGTAAAAATAATTTATATGTTTTATATTATTTCAGAAAACAGACTTAAGTCTGTTTATGATTTAAACACGGACGTGTGACTAAGACGACGGTATTATGTGTTTGTTGACCTTTCTGATAAGATGTCGGTGTATTTTGTTGAAGAGACTGATAAACGTAAGTATTAAGTATTTTATTATGCATTCGACATTTCACTTGAATTTTGCTTTTAGTGTTTTGTTTAGTTAATAAAGAAATTGGGTGAACAATATTTTTGGCATTATTTATAGAGACTTTATATAGAGAACATAACGTCTCAAAAATTTGTTCGCACGAATGTGACGTTCCGACTCAAACTCATCCTTCGGTGTCTTACTTTTTAATGACATGAAATATTATTTTTTCGCTTTAAATTAACATATTAACTTTTTTTTTGGTTTTAGGAATGGAGCTATCGAGTGAGTTAGTGCTTCAGCTGATTGGGGATGGCAACGATTCTGAAATTAAAGAAGTAGAGGATGACGAGGGTGATCAAGAAGACTTTTTTCTGCCGTTTATGCATGTTGATGAACCTGAGATACCTCCAAGTTTAGACCCATCGTCTGCAACTGCTCCTGAAAAGTCTACAAAAGCCCAGACAGGCGTCAAAAGATCTGAAAGCAAATGCCATACAACCAGAAGGAACACTGCTATCCAGAGCGACCGCTAGCAGCGGTTAGGTCTCCTTTGGCCTATTTTGAAGATTATTTTGACGAAAAATTTTTTGAGCATGCCGCAGTTTGTACAAATAATTATTATATGCGAAAAACTGGAACAGTTCTAAACACCAATGAAACCGAATTAAAAAAAAAATCATCAAAAACTAGTCAATCAAAAAATCAAATCAATTATCCTGGGTTGTATTTCACGCATTAACATCTACTGGCAGACAGAGATGCAATTAGCTTTAGTTGCTGACAAGATTTCTAGGGATCGTTTTAAAGTTCTTCATATGGTTTTTCACGTTGTGTAAAGCTTCTACAGGAAACCAAAATTTATTCTGGAAAGTGCATCCTGTACTTGATCAAGTAAATAATGCTTGCAACAGATTAGAACGCCAACAAGGTTTTTATTCGATAGACGAACAGATGATTCCATTTTGTGGGAAATGTCCACATGGTTTGAGACAAGTTATTAAAACAAAGCCACGTCCACAAGGGTTAAAAGCTTTTGTCGCCACTAATCACGATGGTTTGATGATTGACTTCGAAGTTTACCAAGGCGCTAAAACAAACTGTGAAGACAGATCTCTAGGTGTGGGAGCTGCTGTCATTCTTCATCTATCCAAGTCTATTTCATGTGGTAGTTGTGTATATTTCGACCGGTTTTTCTCATCTATACCAGTACTGGAAAAATTAATAGAAATGAAAATTTATGGGACTGGCACAATTATGATGAATCAAATTCCTGATAGAAAAAATATTAATTTTAAGCAAGATAGCAAAATGAAACGTGGTGAATCTCAACACTTCATTGGCAATGATATTGTTGTTGTAAAATGAATGGACAAGAAATCCGTCCTAGTACAATCCAATTGCACTTCTGGAGATGATTCTTGTCAATTAACATTTACAAACGTTAAATGTCCAAAAGTTATAGCAAACTACAATAAGAATATGGGAGGTGTAGATATTCTTGATCAGTTCATAGAATACTAACGGGCATTCATCAAAACGCAAAAATGGACTCATCCTTCATTTTTTTGACCATTCAATTTTGAATGCTTGGAGGTTGTACTTATTAGAATCAATAGCAATGAGAGCACCCAAAAATAAAATAATAGACTTATTGGAATTTTAAATGCAGGTGGCAGATGGTCTAGTCAGTGCCCCAGAATGTAAAAGAAGAACTGATATTAGTGAAAAAGATGAGAATCTGCACTCGAATACGTCTAAGTTCCGTCGACCTAACCCACCTTCTGTGACCAAAAGGTATGATGGGTATGACCATCTTCCATCATTTGATGATTTGATGAGAGTCCAAGATCGTGCAGAATGGAAGGTTGCAAAAGTAGATCTAAGATACTATGTACCAAATATGAAGTTTACCTTTGTTTATCTAGAAAACAAAACTGTTTTGCAGGCTATAATACAAAGTAGATATGTTTCAAAATAATTTTTAAATGTTTTTATTATTTTTTAAGAAAAATAATTATTTTTTGTTATAATTTGATTTACTTTTAATATTCTAAATTTAATACTACTATTTCTACTACTAATTCTACTTTAATATTCTAGATTTACCTTTAATATTCTAAAGTGATTACTTAAAAGTTCCTACTACTATAAATATTAATTAATGTATTACAATAACATACAGTAACATATTAATAAATATGTTTTCTATGAAAAATATTTGTTTTGTACTTAAAGCAATTTAAGTCTGAACATCACGATCGTGCAGGATCCCCCATGTTAAGGGGGCGAAGGAGATTTTTTAAAATATTCATTTAGAGTCTCTCTCTTCAATCCTGACCCCCCAGGGGGAGTGTAGTGGTCGACGTGATGTCGTGTATTGTCCGTCTCCAGAGATCGCTGTCTCTGGTCATTTCTTTTAATTCATGCATAGGTCTTTGGCATATTCCTGTAATTTGATCTATCCATCTTGTTGGGGATCTTCCTCGTGATCTTCGGCCTTCTACCTTTCCTTGTATTATAAGTATTTCCATGTTTTCTGTGTTTGCTCTCATAACATGCCCAAAATGTTTTAATTGTTGGAGATGGACTTTACTAGAGAGTCGTTGGCTAACTTTTAGCTCTCTTAAAATTGAATTATTTGTTCTACGGTCGGTCCAAGGAATTCGTAACATTCGTCTCCAACAGAACATTTCAGTGGCGTCTATCTTTCTTCTCTCCGATTGTCTCAGAGTCCAAGATTCACATCCGTAGGTCAGTAATGGGAATATTAAGCAGTTGATCAACCTCATCTTTATCGCTCTTGAAATTTGACAGTCCTTCCATATTTTGGTCATTTTTGCTGTGGCAACTTTTGCTAGATCACATCTACGTTTAATCTCTTCTTGTAATGACCCTGTGTTTGTGATTAATGATCCCAGATATAAGTGTGAGCTCACAACCTCGAACCGGTCAATTGTGGTTATGCGTGGATGATTGTTGTTTAGTCTATCCACTATCATGATCTTTGTCTTTGATATGTTTAATTGCAGACCAAATATTTGACTTTCGTTTTCGGTCAGTCGTATAAGTTCCATTCCTCTGCTTGACTATTTGCAAGAAGGGCTGTGTCATCTGCGAAACGTAGGTTGTTTAGTTTATGGCCATTTATTGAGATGCCCTTTTCCCATCCTTCAAGTACTCTTCGTATAATATACTCCCCATATATGTTGAATAATTGTGGAGATAGTATACATCCTTGTCTGACACCCATTCTGGATGAAACTCGTTTAAAAGTGTGTCAAGTACTTTAACTGATCCAGTTGTGTGTTCATATAGTTCAGTTATAAGCGTAATTAGTACGCCTACTTTTTTAGTATTCGCCATAAGTGTCTCCACTTGACCCTGTCGAACGCTTTACGGTAATCTATAAAACAGATGTATAGTGGAATGTTGAATTCCCTAGATTTCTCGATTATCTGTCTTATATTCAGCAGGTGTTCTCGAGTGCCTCTACCTTTGGTAAATCCAGTTTGCTCTTGTGGAATTTCTCTTTGAAGGAATGTTTTCAGTCTCTCATTGATTATATGTAGTATTATCTTACTGGCATGGGATATAAAAGAGATAGTTCTATAATTGTCGCATTTATGGAAGCTGCCTTTTTTATGTATGGTCGTTATTGTAGATTTTGTCCAGTCTTCAGGCCATTGTTTGGAATGCCATATTTGGTTATAAAGTAGATGAAGTAACTTTACGCCGGTTTCTTCTGTGGCTTTACGCATTTCTGCTGTTATCATATGTGGACCTGGTGCTTTGTTATATTTGAGCTTGTTGATAACCTGTCTTACTTCATTTTCGAGTATATCAGGTTCTTCTTCCGCCTCGTCAGAGATTTGGCTAACAAGCTCTTGGCATTGATCATCTTTATATAGGTCTCTGCAATACGATCTCCAGAGTACAATTTAGAGTACCTTATATAATAAATAAACGTGTTCAGTAGTAAAAAATCTTAATTTAAAAAAATAAAAAATCAGACTTGTAAGGGGTAGAGAATTAGTTGTAATAAAAAACTTTATTTATTTAAGTATACTTGTGTATTGTCACTTTTTCAATATTAAAATTCTGTAAGATGCTATACAGAATTTACGATCAGTGTATCCTTCCTATACTCACCTAAGGCTCACAGACGTGGAGACTCACCAAGTCTAATATGGATAAAATAGTAAAAGCACAAAGAGCGATGGAAAGGTCAATGCTCGGGGTGAGACTTACAGAAAAAACACCAACAAATGGATTAGAAGCAAAACGAAAGTAAAAGACGCAGGAGAACATGCTGCCAAATTAAAATGGAGAAGACAATGCCCGACTGAAGGATAAGAAATGGAACCATGAAATGCAACAATGAAGACCATGGTTAGGAAAGAGAAGCAGAGGAAGACTACAAATGATATAGGCGGATGATATTAAGAAGATCGGAGGACACAACTGGAAGCAAGTGGCGCAAAATAGAAGACACTGGATTCTTTTTTGGGAGGCCTATGTCCAAAATTGGATTACTTAAGGCTAAAGAAGAAGAAGAAGATGCTATACATATATTAATTAAAGGCACAAATGAAGTTAGTATTATAAAGGCACAGTTATTGTACTTCTCATAAACAAAAAAAAATATAAATCAACATATTCTTAAACATTCTACAATCAAGATAATATTTGAACAATTTAAAAAATAATAAACAATTAAACTTATTGCTTTTTTAGCTTTTTGTTTAAATTAACACCTATTCCTCTATTTGGTGATATCAGATTTTAATAATTACTTTCGGTCCTAAGGTAATATGCGAAATAGACAAGGCGAAAAAAGCTCGGGTTCGTTGGGAAAATATTTCCATGAGATTTTCTTGCATAATTCCTTTCATGTGATACCCCAAAATAAGGTCAACAGGTCTTTTAAATTCTTTTAAATAATTTTTTCCGCAAATCGCCAGGAAATTTTGACATTCCTGTCAAAATTTCTTGAAGAAAAAGTCAGGACTTCCTTACTGTAAGGAAATGTCATTTCCTTACTGTAAGGAAATGATATTTCCGTACAGTTGTTAGTGTTCTACATAAATGATAGAAAACACATTGCTTATAAGGAATTAGTTTATATTTTGAAAACATCAAGCTCTGGAGGAGTCCCAGGAATGGAAATTTCATCATCACTTATCATTTTACTTTCGAGAACACCAGCAATTAAATTTATAAGCGTCAAGTTTGACAATTCAACCTCAATACGTTTCCATAGTAACCCAAGTAATTTTATTACGAATTTCAAAGCACCATTTATTTGGGAATAAAATTATCGCGTTTTTTTTAAATCAATCAATATCTGTCGAATTTTAAACGATTTACGGAAAAATAGTATGTTTACCTCGTAGGAAAAGCCACATTCCTGGACTCTGTGTTGCTAAGTCTCGGCTTGCGCCTCGACTTAGCAATCTTCACAGTCGTCCAGGAATGTTAAGCTTTTCCTACCCGGTAAACAATGTACTATTTTTAAACAAATTGTAATATTATTTAATTTTTTCGGCGCCTTACATTTTTTTTCTCGCTTATTTCTACAATTCAAATCAGCAATGTGTGCCATATATTTTGTTTCTCTCTCTTATACACACCGCAGACCGAGCGCCCATCCTGTCATAACCGCTTCATTAACCCTTCAGTAGTCGCTAGGAATTTTTGAAAATTAGTAGTCGCGCGCGGTCGAAACGACCGTTTGGTCTTTTACTTCTTACTTCTTACTTTGTGTTAGTAGTAGAGTAACATATTACAAAATTATATAAAAAGTAAACTAATGTTAAAAACACTGAACAGAACATTAAAAAAACTATTTTCTACTCCGATAAAAAAAGGAAACTTTTAGTTAATCCGAATAAGTTCAGTTTGGCACTCTTCGTATACTGCACGTGTATGCTCTCTGCATAAAAACTTTTACATTTACAGCAGGAAACAGTCGTTTTCAGTTTCTTTTAACGGTCGCAAAAGTAGCATCTACCATGTACTCATTCATTCGTTGGAGTGCCGTCTGTGTTAGGAATATTACATATGGCCTTAATACGTAACTTCAGATCTCTATTTAAATTGTCTACTGTTGCTCGGACCCATAGATGTTCATCCATAAGAGAAAATGCTAAATGCTTCAAAAATTTTCTTCTAAGCATTTTATTATCAGCAAGGTTGTTACTTGCATGAATCACTAGCGAATTAATGTCTCCGATATTTAGTATGGTGTTAAAAATTACCATGGGCCAACGTCTTGTTTTTCGCAAAACATCATAAGAGGAACATAGCTGATCAGCGACGTTAACCCCGCCTTTTGTTTTGTTATAAAACGTCAGAATTTCGGGTTTATAATGTTCAAATGTTTCTCTACAATGGGTTTGCTTAGAATATATTGTATCCAAGGGTAATTTCCTAAAAATCAAGGAATCATTTCAACGCATGTTAAATTTTGCGAAGAGTTATATCTCGATTTACACTTTTCTACGAATTTCTACGAAAAAATACTCGGATGGCGGCCATCTTATCCAGTTTCCTACGTTCTTCACAATCGACCTTATCATTAAATCTAATGCATCTTAGAGGAAACCGAAATCGGGATAAGGACATAACTAGTCTAAATATTTCGATAACTTCTCCATTGGTTTGACAGATATCTTCTGTATTCAGGTGATCGGCTTTATATGTCCCTGCCAAATATAAAAGGCCTATAAGACCGCGAATTTCAGATGGGTTTGTAAGCTTTGCATCCCTCTCCCTAGAGAAATTGTTTGCTATACTTTCAATGTATTTATTAGTGGATTCTACAATTATGTAAATCATGTCCTCATCAATGAAATAACTCCATATTTCATAAATGTCTTATAACTTTTTCGTAAATCTATTAGGCCCAGGTGATTGTTTTACTAAATTAGGCTTGCTCATATGTACCCTTTTGTTTTATCTTTGATGCTTTCTTCACACTGTATCATCTTTTCCCCTAAAAATACTTTCTTCTTGTACATTATTCAGTAAAACTTCTCCTATTTCCTCTAAATCTTGTTCTTGTTTGCTTTCCGAATCTTCCGACCTCTCATCAATAACTTCCGGATTTACTTCATTCTCGTCATCGTCGTCGTCATATTCTATATCAAGCGGTTCTTTTTCCATGAGGGCTTGAAGTCTCCTTTGTCCCTTCTCATAGTCCATTCTAAAAATAAAGCCAAACAATTTATATATAAAAGTTTGCTATATCTAAAAATTTAAAAAAATTAATATTTGATTCTCAATATAGAACCAAGAAAATTATGAAATATCGTAATAGTAATTTGCTGCAAAGTAATTTAAAATTTGATGACTAATTACATAGTCAAAGAAAGAGAGGTATCAAAAGGTTACTAAACACTAAGACAAAAGTATTATGACCTTTGCGCTGTAACTCCTAATCAACAAACCTCCCCCACTCTGATTTAGTACTGAGGCTCCTTCTAACCCTCTTATCTATGGGCTCCTTTCTTGTATCGAATGAATAAGCTACTGAAGGCCGTGGTTGCCAAATGTAATTTTTTTCCGAAATATTAGCAATTTTAATACGGGCGGTCTGTTTGAACATGTAGCGACTAGTTAAGGGTTAACGATTAAAATAAAATAAGCCCAAAATACTTATCGGAAAATGATAGAGCAATGTTTAAACTTAAATTTAGGTCTTTATTGAATTCTAAAATAGTATTTTTTACTTGTGTTTTTGAGACCTGTTTTGTTCAGAATGATCTAAAAAATTTGCCAGTGCCGAAAAAACTTATTGTTACAATTTGTTTAAAAAAATTGTTTAATTTAAAAATTATTAAAATTTTAACAACGCCATTTTAAAGGTTTTTATAAGACTCATAAGTTTATTACCCTTTCTATAAATATAAACTATTAAATATAAATTTGTTTAAAATGCTTCAGTTTTTGGTGATACACAAAAAAAGTGAAAGTTTACCGTTTTTTTAAACTTAATTTGTTAATGATTAATTCTTCTTCTTCGGCCTTCACTTATCCAATGTTGGACATAGGCCTCCTCCAATTGCTTCCACGCTTCCCTATCTTTTCCAATTCTCATCCACTGCTTTCCAGCTACAGCAGTTATATCGTCTATCCATTTTTTTAGGTCTTCCCTCGCTTCTTTTTGTTTCTCGAGGTCTCCAGTGACATTCTCCAATGTCACTAAAATGACATTCTGGAGACCTCGAGAATTATTAATTAAGTCCAAGAAATCGACTGCAGGAACATATAGGTTTTTATTACAGAGATCCATAAAGGCAATTTTTTTCCTTATTTCCCCGGCCTATAAATAAACAAGGAGACCGTCTCAAGGTTATGAGGGTACCAGGGCACAAGGGTAAAGGCAATGAAAAAACAGATTAAATCGCCAGCAAAGACTCGCTAATGTCATTCATTGAGACGGAACCCCTCTGCGGCTTTGCTAAGGCAGTAACAAGAACGGCTACAAGAAAAGTGGGTAGGACACAAAGCTCTTAAATAGTGGAGGAATTCATTAGGACAAAGACAGGTGGTAATTCATTAGGCCAAAGACAATAGGGCATGATGGTCGCCAATATCCTTAGGAATGATGCATGTTAAGAAGAAGAAAGAAATACAGGTGAAACAATTCATTATAGAACATTCCCCAAAATTTACAGCAGATCTAACCAGCAAAGATAGGACAACAGTCAACGCCATAGTAAGTCTCTTAACAGGACACTGAAGCTGAATAGGCAGTTGAAGTTGATGGGATTGACAGATGATGATCTATCTATGCAGATTCTGTCACCTAGAGAAATAAACAGCAGAGCACATTCTGTGTCATTGGCCTGGCAAATGTGCGGTTTTTTACATTAGGTGAGGAAAAATCACCGACAAAAAGCTACATGAAAGGTCTCATATAAAAGCGACATATTAGACCTTTTAAAATAGGCTAAAGAATGTAATCTAGGATTAGAAGACAACAATAGATCTGAAATGGTCGCAGTGGAAAAGCCGCCTCATTGAATCTTATACTTATTAGTCAATATGCATAAGTTGGTTAAAATAGTATATATTGGATCTTTTAAGCACGTGGATACTATTTTTAATGAATAGTTTAATTATAATTGTTTCAGAAACCATTAGACGTAACTAATCATTCGATAGCAAGAGAAGTGGTTACTTTCTTCACTTTACCATCAGGAGATTACATCGTTGTACCTCAAACCAACATCCCAAATTTAGAAGGAAAATTTTTATTGAGGATATTCACAGACGAACAGAGCGTTATATGGTAAGACGTAGAATATACAATGTATTTTTTAAGTAATTGTAGTATTTTCCATTCTTTATATGATTCTTTTTTTGAACGTATGGCTCCTTTCTCTCTTCCACTCGTGTCTGTTTCTTAGAATGTTTAGTGCCTTGTTTCTAAATATTCCGCATTTTCCTTTGTATAGTCATCTTATGTAATATTTTATCAGTTTATTTCATATCTCATTCATTTTTTAAATAGTTTTCTGTTTCTTCTTCATTAGAGGACAACGATGAAATATTTTCTGCCTATTTCGCCATTAAATTTCACTTCATCTTTTCCAGGGGCGCAAATTTAGCATTTTTTTAGTTAGTCGATTTTTATTTGTTCTATTTATATGTTATTTTAAATTTATTTTGTAGCAGATTATCTTCTTATTTAAAGAACAAATATTTAGTTCTTCGGAACGTCTACTAAAGATAATGCCATAAACTTGGTGGCAATATTCCTACTTTTTCTATTAATGATCACGTAGTCTATATTACAATTTCTGAAGCATTTATTAAGGTTTTTATTACACCTTATCATTTTCTGTTTTTTATTATGTATTTTTTTTACAAGTCTAATTGGAAATCCACTTTAGTATCTTTCATATTCATATCGCCTTATTACATATTCAGCTATCCATCGAATGGTGCTATTGCTTAAGTCAGACCTTGATCTCCTTCAGTAAGCTTTTGCAATGATTTTAGTCTACTGCTTTTCTTTTCCGTGATCTCTTCTTTGGCTTTTCAACAAGTATTAAAAATTTTCTGGGGATTCTGTTCTTATATATCCAGATACATAGGATCCAGTGTCCTGCTCACAGTAGTCGCTGCCTTAGACAAGGAAAGAGAGGAGACGCGTAATCGTATGGAATTGACTGAAGTCTAAACCGACACCAAAAAGGTTGCCAGGTCATATTTTATTTCTTCAGTAGATTGAGAATAATGAATATATATATATATATATATATATATATATATATATATATATATATATATATATATATATATATATATATATATACATTATTTTATCATTATATATTTTTTAGTAGATCGATATAGTGCTTCAGTAAAGCAGTAAATTAAAGTTGAAATCAATAGATCTACTGAAAACTAAGAAGACCTGGTAACCCTGCGAGACGTAGTAATGGGCAACGTACAGACACCAAAACATGGCGTTCACATCGAAACTGGATTCACTTTTCGAAGGTTTATTAAATGAGCGGTACCTGTCCTCTCTCTTTCCTTGTTAAGGTCGCTGCAGTCTAGTGTATTGTGCTAATGTTGGTTCTCTATATTTTTCGCACATTTCTTTTTTATGTCCAATTTGCCAGTTGTTATTTTTACTAATTGGACTCAGTATCCTCTTTTCTAACAAGTCTAATACATTGACATGTTTATGTGTTATAACGCATGTTTTATTACATTTCCAAACTTTGATATTATTGTTATTGTTCTGAAGCTATTTTCTTGTGGTATCGTAATGCAATTTACTATTTTTGTTGGGAATAATCCACAATTTTACTTTAAAATTAAATTTATTTTACGTTTCCATTTCCTTTGATTGATTTTTATATGATTATTTCGATTGATATTATTATCTTATCGTATTTTACGATGTTATATCTTTCCTATGCTGTTATACTGAGTTGAGTCGTGGACTCACATGTAAGAAAATTGAGGCTTTCGAAATGTGGCTTTATCGTAGAATGCTGAAGATATCTTATACCGACCACGTTACTAACCAGGAAGTTTTATTAAGAATGCAAAAAGGAAAAGAGATTTTAATCACGATTAAAGCCAAAATTGAATACCTCGGCCACATCATGAGGAACAGCGAAAGATATGGGTGGCTGCAATTAACTCTTCACGGAAAAGTAGAAGGAAAACGAGGATCAGGAAGGCGAAGAATTTCCTGGCTGAAAAATCTACGTACGTGGTTCAACACAACAATCACAAATCTTTTCAGAGGCGCAGTTTGCAAAATACAGATTGCCATGATGGTCGCCAACATCTGAAACGGATAGGCAGTACAAGAAGAAGAAAATCGCATTTTAATATAAACTACTTTATCTAATAGGAATTAAAAATTTAATCAAAAACACTTTATATTTGACGCTTCAATGTAGCTGACAATAAGGGCATGGTTGTAATATTAGGTATACTTTAGTTTCAGTGGTAGTTTTTTGACCAAATCATGATTAACATCTGATAGAACAGAGATTTAGGCATCAAATGCCCACAAATATTTTTAAATGACATTAATGAAAATATCTTCCTCAGTATGACAATTATACAAGTTCAAGTTATTTATACATGGTAATATTAACATACATAAAGTACTTACATATGACAAAACAATGGTATAAAATATTGGTTCACAAATATGAGTAGAAAGTATAACATTCCTAACATATTATAAACAAAAGGCATAATATAAAATAGTGCGTATATTATTTCAGTGGCGCACCCAGAATTTGTCCGAGGGGGGGTTTTAAATTTTTTTATGTTACCTTCATTTTGAGTCCCTAAAATTTGGGTTTTAGTTTAATTTAAAGTACTAAAGATAGCAGTGCCAAATATTCAGGTATCTATTATCCTGCCTACCAACTAAAACCACATTCTCTCACTTGTGCGCAGTTGACTGTTGCACGTACCGTACTCAGAAAGTGAGGTGGCCGCTGAAAAGCTGACGACATTTTTGGAACACTCCCTTCCCGTATTTAGATCTTATCTATTGTTCTGAAGCTATTTTTTGTGGCATTTTAAAGTAATTACTATTTTAATGGAAATAAGACACTATTGAAGGTTAAAATAAGTTTGTTGACGTTTGACATTAATCCAACTTGTAAATACATTACATTTTGGAGACGGCTATCGCCGTATTCCCGTTCTCCTCCGCCAATTCTCCTGGTCCAAGGCATGCTCCTCCTCCAAACCTCTCGATTCCATCGCTCTTCTAATTCCTTCATTCCATGAGCGTAGAGGTCTACCTCTTTTTCTTCTTCCAGGGGGCTTCCATCTAGTGTTACCCAAATGCAATAACAAGACGAGACTTAGATAGTCTTGGTCTTGTGCCAGTACACCTGGTCTTGGTCTTAGTCTCTTAGTCTTGGTCTTGGTATTGCATCCCCGGTCTTTGTCATAACTTGCAAGTCTTGCAGTTACCCATTAGTCTATTGCTATTTATTAAACGTTGCTTTCAATCTTAGAACAACGTAAAAAACAAAGTAAGTGCATTTTAAGCTTGAATTAACAGACCCATAATAAAGACCAACCAAATTAATAAATGTCTAAATAAATGACCTCGGGTGGGGTTTGAAGTCACGATCTAAGCGATCTGTGCCTATGCTCTAACTAACTCAGCTATCTACCATGCTCCACGGAAGTCAATCTGTTTTTTATAAACGTTTGCATTAAATAAGCTTACATGTGCTAGAATATGGATAAACTACAAAAAACCCAAATTAATGACATAAAATTGACTGTATTTTAAAGTACATCATCTGTCTAGAAAGGAATTGATGAAAGTAATGAAATGTAAATCTTAACAAAGATTGGTATTATCAAGGGCGCCGATTCTTTAGGTGATAAGATAACAAACTATAATCCACTTATTAAAGCAAAATAAATGTTGTTAACAATCTTAACTGTACTTTTGTATAAAAAACTAACTTAATAAAGAATAGGTAAAAAAGCAATGATAATCGAAAGAAATTATTTTAAATTAACGAGATACCCACTTAATAAATACATTAATTTATCAAAATAAAGTAGTAGGTACATAATTAATGTAATTGGTAACACAAAACAAAGCAATTAGGGATGCATGAATTATTTTGAAAAACTCATCAAATTTGCTTTTAAGTCTTATATATCTATAACTCCAACTCTCACTACTTCGACATAGAATTATTTGAATCTTTGTCCCTCAACAACAAGGATTAGATGAAAAACAATTATTACATTAGACTCAAAGTTTAGTGATGTCGAAAATAGTTACTTTATGTTCGTTACTACCCAATACCCCAAGTACCGAATAACAAACAGAGAATTATACTTATCCACATCGTTACTTCATTATTCTAAATATTTCAGTATTTTGTTTACACGGTAGGTGACTATTTTAGGCGACATTATCTGTTATTAATTTGTCTCGTTACTTTTGAATATTAGCCGCGCTCTGTCAGCAAATTTTGTTTAATCGAATGATCTCATCACACACTCAGCGGAAAAAATGTTTAGTCTTAGGCCGATAAGATTTGTTTATTTAGATTTCTCCTAACTAAATTATAATGGAAAACAAATTGAATTATTAAGTGGGTGTCTTTAACAATAAGTATATTTTTATTAGCTAAGGTGGCATATTTTTAAGAAATTTCGATACGATATTACTGTCGTAGTTGCAATGTAAGATTATTTTATGATTAGAGGGCGGCTATTCTTAAAATCTGAACAATTAATTTCAGAACGAAGAAGGTATCTGCTGGGAAAGAATGTACAAAATATTTTATTATTACATTATAATTATGACATCTGAGCACATCTCAAATGTGTTCTTTTAATAAATATTTTGATTTGATATGTATGGTTATGATGTTGTTTGTAATGCTTATAAGTCCACTTTTTCAAATTGTTATTACATTATTTTTTGCGTCTCATAGAGTCTTTAAGCATATACCCGAACTACTATACTTGCTAAAACGACACTCAGTCCTAAGTTCAAGACGCAGGAGTCTCGCAGGCTTAGTCTTGTTCCTGCTTAAGTCTTGCACGGTTAATCTTGGTCTTGGTCTTGCGAAAATTAGGCGGTCTTTGTCTTTGTCTTGGTCTTGGTCTTGGTCTTGGTCTTGCGAAAACACAAGAACAAGACCAAGACTGCAAGACCAAGACCGATTTTGGGTAACACTACTACCATATGTGAAGTGTTTGGGGCCAACGTTCGTCAGGCATTCTCAATAGTGTCCAACCATTTTGAACCTCTTCTTTCTATTTTGTCAATGACCGTTTCTGTAGCGTTCATGTTATTTCTTATAGATTCGTTGGTCTTCCTTTCCTGACTTGATGTTCTAGCACTTCTTCTCAAATAATCCATTTCATTTGCCAACAATGTCTTTTTTCATGTCTGCATTCAACCAATGCATTCAAACTGATTTAACTCAAATTGGCTCGGATAGTCATTTTCGATTTTTAGGTAAGTAGTGTTATCCCTGTATACTTCTGTGATTATTCCTACTAATGTCGAGTTGTTGTAAAGCTTGCCACAATTTAAGTCTTGGAACTGTACGCTTTTTCTAGGTAGATGAAGGTTAAATATAATTCAGTACCAACCGCTATTCTTTTTTCTATTAATTGTTGCAGTATAAACAAGTTATACACATTATAAAGATTGTATTAACATATAAAGATTCAAAAGTCAATAAACTCATTTTAACCTTAAATTGCTGCTTATTCCTATTAAAATAGTAATTAGATCTTATCTCTGTCGTTGTCCCGGTTAGTGTCTCTCTTCTTTTTCTTTTTTGTTATTGACTGTTCGGAAGTAATTGTGAACACTATTCTATCCTTCCGTACTTCCCGTCATCTTCACGATCATCTCTCTTACAGTGACAGGGTTCATACCTATTTCTTTATACATTTTGTTTCTCTCCACTGTACATATTTTACACTCCAGCATTGTGTGAATAACAATTTCGGAATATTCGCAGTATAGACATTTATCTGTATCTATCTTTCTGAACATATGAAGATACACCCTAAAACAAACAATCTACCCAGTCCCTTAGGCTCGGGATCAGCATCTTGGTCCACTGGGCAACATATTCGTTGTTCCACTTTTCTTGCCATCTTTCCATTGATCTTTTCCTCTATTCTTTTTTTATAGCTGTTGTCAAATGCTCTCTTCTCTCATAGAGATGTCTCTTTTCTACTGCTAACACATGCAGAGGAACACAACCCGTGATAGTCCACATGGCCGCCGCAGTTACAGTCCTGTAAGCGCATGCTACTCGCAACAGACTCGTTCTGTCTACTTTTGTCATAAGCCTAATATTAGGTATCTATATCTAAATATAATGAAAAATATTTAATTATTGTGTATTTATACAATAATTATTCTGTTCTACATATTTAAAGTGGTAATTTAATGACTAAGTTAGTGTTTTGGATTGTTTGTATTGTGTGTGAAAGACAAGTTACATTTTCCTACTCTTCTTTATATATTTTTTACTTTATATGCCCTGGGGGGGTTTAACACCCAAGCACTCCTCTCTAAATGCGCCAGAGCATTATTTAAGACAAACATTACACAAACTTTACACTCTGCTTTCCCAGGTATAACCAGAATATGGTTCATCAACCCAGTTCCAAATATTAAAGTTCAAATTTAAAAAATTAATCACTATTATAAAATGCCTGACTGATGAGAAAATTCTTGATTGTTTTTTTTTAATTGTAAATTTCGTAATTCAGTAATTGCAGAAGTCAGCTTATTATAAAATATTGTACCATAAAAGTTTAGTCCGTCTCTACTTCTTTGGAGTCTGGTGTAGGACAGCATTAAGGCATATTTATTCCTGGTTTTATATTGGTAAACATCCTCATGTCTTTGATGACGATTTACACTGCCGAGCATAAAATTAGGGTCACCCTGTAATTTAAATTTGTTTTAGAAATTTTTATTTTTTTTTAAACTATTTTCTGTTGTAACATAGTTTACTAACAGATTTCTTAAAGAAAACAACGTTTTTATCCTTCAAAGTTTATTAAAAGTAATGAAAATTAACAACTCTCCTTTGATATACTAAATATTGAAAAGGGACAATTTTAATTTAATTTGCTTTTTGTTGAAAGAAAAGAAATTTTAATAATTTCAGTAGCGAGTATTACCTCCTCGGGGTAATGATAATAGCTTGCAAATGACAAGGCATCCTTTGAATCATATTATTAATCACAGTCTGCCTAAGATTGTTCCATTTCTACACCAATATGTCGCGAAGCTCTCTTGAATTTCTGGAGGCTAGCACATGACTCGGCTGTTTTTTCCCGTTTTTCGAAACCGGCTTCAATAAATGTCGTTAAGGACAGTACTTGATCACTACAGCTACGCCCGCTTCTAAATCCGGCCTGTTCGACTGGTATCACATTGTCGGTGATGGGGTATATCCTGTTATATATAAGTCACTCTAGTAGTTTGTAGCAGCAACTGAGGAGGGCAATGGGTCGATAGTTTTCGGGTAGTTCACCGTCCTTTCCAGGTTTTAAAATTGCAATAACTTTGGTTCTTTTGAACTCTGGAGGTAGTACAGATGTCTTCACTATGTTACTAAAAAAGTCTTTGAGCCAGTGTCGCGTTTTTGGACCACAGAATTAGGAACTCAGGATACATTCCATCGAAACCTGCCGCTTTGCCTTTTTTAATTTGACTGAGGCCATCGTTTATTTCGTTCAGAGAGATGCATCTTGAAAACTCTGAAGTAGGAGGAGTGTTTGTCTTAAGTTCTTTTAGAGCTTTTTTTGTAGACGTCGTATGGATTTTGTCAGAGGGGGCACGCGATACTTCAACTATTCTGTTAGCTATCCTTTTCGGATCGATACTGTTCTTGTTCAAGCGTTTCTCTCTAACGGCTCCACCTAGTCTACGTAGCAATCCCCATGCCTTCCGGCTAGATCGTGAAAAATCAATATGCTCTACTGTTGTTTTCCATTTATTAAGTCGGGTTGAGTCCAGAAAAGTCAGTAGACTCTCAGCAATCTCAGGATCTTCGGAATCTAAAGGTAAATTGGTGGAAGCTTCTTTAATATGGTTACTTATTGTCTTTAATGGAAAATTGTGTTGGGATGATAGCATAATTATAACCTGTTGCTTTGAGCAGCAGGATGCTACTGTACGACAGTACTTCTGAGTACTGCAGTGTATAGTAGTGCAATGATATAAAGACGCAGTAGATTGAAGCCTCGAAATAGGTAGATATTACTGAAGAGCTAAAAGTGAAAAATCCGGAGAGACAGTCAAATGTTCGACGTAGTTCAATTTCCTCTTACTAAACTCTGGGGGGGGGGGCGTAAATTTTTTACTGTTGTTAAAGAAATCTCACTATATTTTATCCATTTTAGGGAAGTAAATGAAGATAATATGCTTATTAGAAACATTGCATCCGAGTTTATGGATCATTCGGGTTCATCCGTCGAGGTAAGTTTTTATAATTATTTTATCTAATATGCTCTTTTTTAAAAACATTTTTTACAGAACTACTTGAATAATTCTTAATATTGTTTTCACTATTTAAGGGAGATGGTAAAGCAACGATAAATAAATTGCTGCTAAAATATTCATCTGAAATCGATGCTAGTCAATTACAGAAAATCCTGAAAACTCACTGGAAACTGTATCTATCGGAAAAACCAAGCTTAGAATTGTGTAAGAGTTTAATCATGCTAAGAGATTTTAATATTAGTGGGAAAATTAATCTGGCAGATTTACCAACATTGCTGCAAGTTTTACAACATTGGAGGGTGAGTTTTATACTTTTATCTTATTAACAAAAAGTTAAAGCTAGGATGTTGTATTTGTAATAATTCTGTATAAAATTAAACATTACTTACAAAGCATGGACGTATAAACACAGATGGACTCAGTTATTTACATAAAATTGTGAAGTCAAAATTATTTGAATAGGTCACATTCTCAGCACCTTCAACTGTTGTCACGTTTTGTTTTAAAATTTCTTATTCGCGAGTCGCTGAAAATATTACTCCGTATTTTATACTCTACAGGTGCTATCAAACCAAAATAATAATTTATTGGTTAGATTAATATATTTAATTGTAATAAAAATATAAATTGTGCACATAGTGTGCATTATCATTTAATAATAACGTATAATTTAGATATCAATCAAATATTTTATATGTAGAAGCACTGAAAACTATTTATAAATGGCAACGGTTGTTTACATTTCTCTGTCTTATGGATATACGTCAAACTTCAAATGCTGTTCCATGTTTGTTTACTTTTTAGTAAAAGTTGTTTTTCGATATTTTGGCTGTATTTTGAGTGATGTTTGTGAAAAGTGAAATAAAATAAACGACATATTTACATCCCGATCTCTTATTTCATTTGTAAGTACATAAAATTTACATTATTTAAGATGAGGAAATGAGGAAGCGTGTTTGTTTACATTTTAATAGGCGTACCATTGGGTTTATTCATGTTCATTAATGTATTAAATAAGATATAATTTCATGAAATTAGTAGACATTTTAAAATTGTAAGTAGACATCATCTGATTAAAAAAGATCTATTTAGTACCTTTTTAATTTAATATTTCTCATAGATGCAAATAAATTAGTGAAATGAATAAAACTCATTTATTTTTCTATGTAGGTTTCCAAATAATATTGACGATCGAACTATTTTGGTAGCAAATTTAGGAGAAAACATAAAGATTTTTTATTGTAACATTATTTTGATACCTAATAAAAATTAACTTGAATTTAACTATATTTTATTGTATTAATTTTAAAGCAAATAAAATTGTATTTTAATTTTTCTATAAAGACGTGATTTCTTAATAGGTAGTTAAACTCTCGTTTTTTTTTTTAAATTCTTTGAACGTGTTTTTATACATTATTACTACTTCCAATTTTTAAAATCTGAATAATTACGCGCGAGTAAAAATTCAAGCACGCTTATGCTCATTGCGGAAGCATCACATTCTATCGAAACTTCAAAACATTCTGTGTTAAAGGTATATTATTGCTGTGTCCATCTATGTTTATACGTCCATGTTACAAAGTCTTTCTTGTACAAGTAAATGACTTGGACCCAAATATCCAACGATGTTTTCTAAATATATGGTATGATCTAACAGTTATATTCTCACGATTCTTCTGTTTCAGGTAACTTGTATCGATGATTGAACTTAGCACTTTAATTTATTTGTATTTTGTATCTTTGGAGATGATACCATTCTCTTGTATGTTTTATGTCAGTATTGACAATTTGATTTGATATGTATCATGATGTTTGCTTATTTCTAGAAGCATCTTTGATTGTGCTTCCTGGTTAAAAATTATAAAAAACTTCTTTTTTTTTTCTTCTTCAATTCTTGTTTTATTTTTCAATTTTGATCTTACTTAGGGAACTTCTGAATAGTTCGACCAATATAGGCCGGAAACTTCCGTCCAGTAGTGTCTTCTCCGACCAGATCCCGCTTGCGGTCTATTTTTCCATGAATAATCATTTAAAGCACAGTACTTATCCTATAAAGATATTTAAGTTTTCTTTGTTTAATTGTTCTCACGATTTATTTCTTTTTTCCAATTGTGTAGAATACCTTGTAGAACATAATATACACTTGGGTGGATGGTGAGAATGTCCAGAAGTTGGGTATGATACAAATTGACCCAAAGGGACGTTTAGTCTTGAATCTAACAGAGGAACGAAGAATTTCGGGTTTAAGTACCTACATTTAAATCTGCAAGCGAGCGGTCAGGTGTTTTGAAGAATACAACGGCGAGATTTAGGAACGTGGGTCTATATATTTAGCATGAGGGATATTGGAATAAAAAATGAAAATTGAAACATACCAACTAAAAGGAAATGAAACAGAATTTGGTACTTTTTTCGAGGGACATAGAACTCGATATTCTACATACGAAAAGATTGGTTTAAGAAAGGTACAAAAAATGACAAATATGCTAAATCTCTTTTTAAAATGAATATGCATATATAGTCAAAAAAAAACAATCACACTTACTTTTTGTGGTCGTTCTACATACTTACAAATTTAAACCGTTTTACTAATAAAGATGGATTTATCTAAGGCTAAATATTTATTTCTTTCGATGACCTGGTAAAACTGATAAAAAATTTTGTGTTAATGATGATCTCAATAAAAAGATAATTTAAAACAGAACAATTAAAATGTACCGTGGTCATTACCATGTCACGATATGCCGTTATGAGAATTTAAGCTTCTTATAAACTACGTATAAATTTTAGTGTATTTAAAAAAAAACAAAGGTTACTACCAAAAATTTAAGGGATCTGCCCAATCAAAAAAATAACCGAAGCACTGTACTTCAGTAAGTACTAATGGAAAAACAAAAATAATAACAGGTATATTTCCTTTTTCACCATCAGAAAATATTTAGCATTGTGAATGGATCCGCTGTGACAGGTTATAAAAACCCCAACCACCTTTCTCTCTACCAAGAATGATGATTTCTTCAACTAGAATAAATGTAAAATTCCTCTAACTGAATTTTATTTATTCTCTGCGTAGACGTATATCGCTGTCTATTTGGTTTCATAATTCAGCAATTATTTAAAAATTTCTATAGGCGGAATAAAGAAAAATTGAATTGAAGAGCGAGACAATAATTAAATCATCTGGCACTTGACAAATATAAACAGACTCTTGAAGTTTGTTTACGTTTCATATTCTAAAACACAAAAAGATAGGAACTATATCAATTTTTTATGACATACAGGAAAAAAATAAAATGCTACAACCACTATGTAGTTGACATATTCGGTCCCAGGATATACGAAGAATGTGTCGGTACACCCACATTTCGAATGCTTCTAGTTTTTTATGAGCATCTTAGCTGGTATCCAGGTCTTCGCATCATATAGTAAGATCGGAAAAAATGTAGCATTAACTAGTCATGGCTTTAGAGGAAGAAGCTTGCCTATAAGAAGCTTTTTTATATTAACGAAGGTATACCTACATAAGATTCTACATGGTCAATTAGTATGTTGTTTATCCGTAACTATTGAGCAGGTTGTTGCTTTTTGCTTATCAACCACCATTTTGTCCTATTAAAGTTGAGGCTCAGGCCGTAATCATTACTGACTTTATTAACCCTTTCCATTGCTTCTCGTTTTTTTCATTTCCTTTTTATCCCATAAGAAACTTACTGACATAATCCTATACATTTAATACAGTGCTTTTGAATAAGCTAATACTCTCGAAGGTAATTCCGTAACTAAAATCTGATTATGATGATGAATAAGTAGTTTCGGTGAAACTTAAAGTCTCAACATTATATTCTCATTATAAAAATGTGCATACAAGCCTAATTACTTAATGTAAAAGAAAAATGTTACAATAATACACTACGCTCTCCGCTTTTTGTTCTGCTTTAAAACTAATCTTGTTTTTCACCAACTCGTGGTATTCTTAAATATTAAAAAGTATTTGTTGCATGTCTGTGTTAAAAAGGCTTGACGTTTATGTGTAAGTATCAGTGGATGTTCCCCATATAGACCTATACTTTTTCTGCAGTGTATTCTGTAGTGGTTTTTATTTATTAATCATTCCAGATCTAAAAATGCACAATTTTGTTACGTTTGTCAGCTGATCTAGGAGATCTATTAGACGTATAAATTTGTGTATAATATGACTTCGCACTTTGCGTATTATTGCGTTAGATGTATGTATGTGCATGTTTTATAGACTATCGAAAAGCATTTGACCATCAATATGTTAACCATCAATAGAAATATATGTCTGAAAGAATAGTGAGTGTAAAAGTTAAACTGGGTGCCAAACCTTTAAATGTGATAGCAATCTACGCACCAGGCTGTCATAAATGAGACACCAAATGAGTATATAATCATTATGGGTGATTTTAATGACCGTGTTGGCAATGGTATCGTTTCAAGAATAAACCAGCGATATAAAAGAAAATATTAGACATGAAAACGGAGACCTTGTGACGGTCCTCTGCTACATAAATGAAATATGTACGTATTAATAATACAGTAAATCCGGAGAAAGGAAATCCGAAATAAAAGTATCCACTATCAATTTTAGCACTTTGGAGTGACTAAGATTGATAAAGGATGCTGGAATCTTTGGATGATATTCAGCGACGTTGGCTTTGCACAGCCCCATACGCGTAGTCCGTAGAACCAGATAATTTTAAGTATCGCTTTGTATAGTAGAATTTTGTTTTGGATGTTAAGTTTTGATTTACGTCCAAGTAGCCAATACATTTGCCGGAATTTTAAGTCAAGCTGTCTTCTTTTGGTATGGATATGTTTCTTTCAAGTGAGATATTAGCCAAGATAGAGGCCAAGGTATCTAGCGGCTGGTACTGTTGGTGTTTTTAGATTTTCCTTTCTGACAGGTGGGCATATGTTTTGACAACTGATAAATGATATTTAAGTTGATTTCGTTTTGTTTACTTTTGTTCTCCATTTTGTATACCAATCACTAAGTATCTTCAGATGAAATTGCAGGTTTTGTGAGGCTTATATGGGATCTTTATTTACAGCTAGTATTGCTACGTCTTCAGCAAAGGAAGCGATTGTAGTATTATTAGTCTCTGGTATATCGTCTGTGTAGAGTGAGGAAAGCAGCGGCCCTAGAACACTACCCTGTGCGACTCCGGAATTGATAGAACAGAGGTTGGATTGTTGGTCTTTGAATTTTATAGAGAAATATCTATTTGATATGTAGGAGTTAAGGAGAAGGAAATAGTTACTGTATAGTGCTATTTTTACTTTGTGCCAGACTTTGATAAACGCTTGTGAGATGTCCAGAAATATAGCGTTGCAGTATTTCTTTTCTTCGAGACTTTTTGATTATTCGAAATATTGAAATATAAAATTTTATATTCGAATTCTGCATTGGGTATTACGAGAACAGATTACCTGTTTAGGTGAGCGTATGATATCTGCCTAGTTCTTCTTCTCACTTAGGAGGCGGAGATAGAATCGTTCAAAACGTTAGAATCTGAACACTGTAACTTTCTTACTAGTAGGACATAAAGGATTGATTGATAATGAGATTGCTGATATTTTTGCTAAAAATGGAGCTAATATTTCTTTGATTGGATCACAACTATACTAAGGTGTCCCAGAAAGCCATAGCCAAAAATAATAATATTCCGAACTAAAGGCAAACAAAAAGTTATTGCAAACTTCTGCTCGCGACCCTAAAATACCTTTCAGAAAACTTAACATACTGGAATTCTCACTTAACACTTCTCACTCAAATATCATTTGGATAAGATGAGCAAATTGTACAGAGTAACATTTTGTGATAATGCAGAGGAAACGGTAGAACATATTGTCTTCATTTACAGGATAAATGTTTTCTAACGCAATAAATACTAAATACTAATAAATAAAAAATTGGCTTTATTTTTAAGTCTGGATCTTTTGGAGTAAAACAGAGATATGGTATAAAAGATCTTTCAGATCGCAGTAATAAAAGGTCTAATGGGAGGCCAAAAAATCCTTTTGAAATCCGCAACTATATTCTAATTTAATACATATTAGTATTCTATTACAAGGCTTTATCTTGGGTCCAGTATTATACTTAAATCGTTTTAAAATAAATCATAACATCATTGCCACGTTTAGTTGCCATAAATTACAAAGAAACTTATAACGAAAAAATAAATAAATAAAAATACGAGGAAATATTGCAAAATATATGGCCATCACCAATAATATTCAGCTTTGAAGTACGTTACATGAAAAACGAGAAGAAAAAAATTAGAAATTCAATATAAAAATACAATACAAATCAATAATTCAAATACGAACAAATATAGCATGCACTTCCAGATTCCAAATGCGTGATTATTTTACTGTTACCACCAAAAAACTATATCCAATTTATTAATTTTTTCTTTGTTTTTAGTTAGCTTTTCAAAGATTTGAAAAAAGTCACCACTGCGGCAAAACATCCAGCTATCACCTGAGGGCATTATTATGGGAAGTTGGCTGCACCGTCAGTAATAAAGTGTTAGAATGTTTAATTCTCAGGTTTGCCAAGGATCGAGTATTAACTGCAGAAAATTATATTATGGCATTAGTACGATTACATCTTTCACATGGTAAGTTTTAAATACTGGTCAATACTGAGAATTAAAGGTTTTATCCAATTAGGCTTAGTATATTTTTCACCAACATTAGCTGTGAGTTTCTCTTTTTTCGTTTCGTGTTTTTTTTTTTAGTTAAATGCTTGACTATGAAAAGTGTAATATTATTTTTGCTTTACACAGACACTAAGTACAATCTAAGAAGTATAATAAAAAAATTGTATCAAAGTAACCTAGATACTATTCTTCATTTATTTTACATTTTAGGACATTAAATCTGTTAAAGATTCCAAACGTCGTCAAAATAATGGTTTTCATTAAAACCAAAATTATGCAACGCGGAGTCAAATCCTGAAAACCACAGTAAGCACATAGCTCCCGCGAAAATTTCAACTGTAACATATATATTATACAGGGTGGTTCTTAAGTAATTGTACAAAAAGAAACCGTAGGATATACCTACACTTTAAAATGTTACGATTTAAGCCAAATTGCTTTAATAAAATGTTGATATTAAGAAAGATACAAAGAGAAAATTTAAAATATTAATTTTCGCTATAACTTGCATGTTTGTGAACATTTATGTATAAAACTTCATAACTGGGTACTATCAAACATCAGGAATTATAATTTGATTTGTAATAAAAATATTAAAGATACATTATTTTAACAAAAAAAGGTATGGTTGTTAATAACTTTAAAACCCAACAGTTTTCGAGATAATTGCATTTTACAAATCAACTACATAATTCAGATTTAACGCAATTACTCCAGGCAACGAAAGAAAATTAGACAAACTTCTGAATCAATACTTCTGAACTTTGGTATAAAATGTCTTTAATAAAGTTAATAGTTACCGAAATATTAAATAAGTTAAATATATCAGCTGGATAAGTTGCAATACGATTTGACAAAATAACAGAATGATTGGATTTTACATAAAATATTTTACATTTTGTATTAAAGTCACAATCAAAATATTTTATTTATAAACCAAATTAAGAAATAGTTAAACTAACTAATATTAAACTTATTGTCAAAGTAGGTGTTCAATATGTTCACCATTTCATTTAATTCATTTGTCAATACATTCCATAAAAGCTCGTCTCATATTAAAGAGCATCATTAGTTCTAAAGAAACTGCTGCAGTATTTATAATAAGTATTATAAGTATAATATATAATAAATATAATATAATAATAAAGTATTCGTTTGGGATTTTTATGAATTAAATAATTATAATTATATCTCACCACATGACCAAGGAATATGACTATCACGAATAAACAGTACGTCATTTCCTATGGGGATTCCCATTCCCTGGCACTAGTTGTTCCAATTTTGGAGGGCTGCCTTAATGTATAAATTAAACAGTAAGGGTGACATACTGCATCCTTGTCTTATTCCTTTAGTTACTTTTATTGACTCTGATAGTCTATTTCCGCTTTTTAGGTAAGTAGTGTTTTCCCTGTATAGTTATGTGATTATTCCTGAAAGGAATGGACCAATGCCGAGTTGTTGTAAATCTTGCCACAATTTAAGTCCTCTGTAGCATTTAGGATCTTTTCGATTACCCTTTTTAAACATGGACACTTGGTGAGCGGTTTTTCATTCAGATGGTACTTTGATTTGTTGGCAACATTGATTCATTATAATAGGTATTTGTTCTATTAGGAGTTGACCTCCTGCTTTAAGTAACTCTACAGCTATATTGCCAGGTCTTTGAGATCGCCTGTTTTTCATATTAATTAACTCAGTACGGACCTCGTTGTTAGTAGTATTAATGTTATTATTTGTTTGTCTCTCTATACTGTATTCCTCTCCCATATATCCCAATGTGGACTCTTGGAGTAAATTTTTATAGTGACTTTCTTACTTTTCTATAGGAATTAAGTTGTTTAACGAGATATGGGTTTTTTGCTTTAGATAAGTAATATAGTTCTCCATGCTTCAGTAGTCTGAGAACCACCAATTAAATTTTCAACTTGGACAAATTTTTGTTTCCAGAAATTGTTTTTTGCTTCTTTTGCCGATTAAATGTAACTAAATTAAAATTAATCAAGAATAATAGGAAAAGACCTAGAACATATTCTTAATTAATATTGATCAGTATTGACTGAATTCATATTTATTTTTTACAGACAGGTATCATAATCTGGATACAAAAACAAAGAGCAATCCTCTAACTTTAGAAGAGGTAAGTACTTATGGTTATTTATATTCATTTAATTATCAGATTTATGTGCTAGTGCCAGTTTATGCCATCTTTATCTTCACAACTTCAACCTTCTAAAATCTTTGTTTTAATAAACATTTTTAGAAAAATAATATAGTTATATAGGACGGAATCAAACTAACTAGTCCAGGTTTTTTGTTGCGTAGATTCGATTTTAGAGCTTACCAGAATGAAAACCAGTCAGATAATTTGTTATTAACAATTTAATTGTTTAAATGATTGTATATCCTAAACTATTAGAGATATTTAATTTTATCAAAATAAAAAGTTATGTACTAAAACAATTTTTAATTGAAGGTGATTACTTGGCAACATCGCACTTAACGAAGCCCTTAACGATAACTTTTCAACGAAATCATATTCCACTTATCAATTTTGCAGACGCGTACCAAACAAAATTTTAATTATTTTATTTAAACACATTAAACACAAGTAATTACGTAAAAATTAAATGTGAGACCGATATAATTATTAAATTATCATGTGTCTTTTAACAGGTATCTTATAGTTGTTTAACAAAATAAAGTAAAATTGTATTCTTATTAGAGAGTACCTAATACTGAACTTCAAAAAACAGAAAACTTTAAAAAATACTAATTTTTTTATTTCACTAAAACAATCTGAAATTTTAACGTACGATCTCGTCATTACACATCATTCTCTATTTATATAATTGCTGTGTGCTGTGAATGTTATATTTGTATTTTTAACCTAATTTGAATGTTTCCTTGTGTTTATTTGTTTATATAAATTTAAAAATATATTATGAAGTTCATATAAATAAAATTAAATAAGCTAAACTATTATCATGTGAATACGTGTATATAGTAGTGCATTTGTTTATTTCAGTAAATTCTCGAAATATGAAATGAAGATGGCACTAACTACTAAAGAGTTAATAGCTTTGTTGGAAGAAGACTCAAATTGTGAAAATTCTGACTCACTTAATGTGGTTTATTTGCCGCTGAGATTGGATTAGAAAGTTTCCGATGTAGAAGACATTAATGATAATATTATTTGTGAAGAATCAATCAAATTGGATATTGCAGGTACATAGGAAATACAAGTGATTGGGAATTCTGACGATTCTGATTATGATATTCCTCTGAACCACAGATAAAACGTCTAAAGAAAAAATCAGGCACAAATAATAAATCCAAACTTGTCTCAAATTGTAACAACAGATACTCCTTCGTGCTCAGTACTAATTCAACATCAGTCTGATTGATATTTAGACAATATAAAAGCCAACCATGGAGACAAGTCATATATTAAGGTTCTTTCACTCTTTTTTAATAAAAAAGTAATTGAGAGCATTCTATTTTTTATAAATATTTATGCATCGCAGAATAACATTCACGATTTTCAAATGAATAACATAGATTTAAAAAAATATATTAGCATATGTATATCACCTAGTTCACACTCTCCTTCAAGTTGCATTGGTTAAAGGATGAGGATAAAAAAGTGCACATTATAAGAGAAAGCATGAGTCGACATAGATTTATATTTATAATTTATAATAGTGAAGAAACCGCTACATCAGTGTCAAACTTAGTACATGGACGTCAATTTAAATTTGCTTTACCAGATGAAACCAGATTCGACAATATTGGCCACATTACAAAAAGAGACCATAGTGCAAGAATGATGGATAAGCAAAAGTAATAATATTTATTTATGTAAAAGGTGTAGAATGCATCTACACCCCAAATTTTTCGAAAATTTTTACCTTGAAATTTAATTTACATTTAAAATACAATATGTTCCTTTATTAAAAATTATACTGTTTTCCTCGAAAATGAGAAAAAAAATCTTTATGATTGTAAATTAGTCTTAATTTATGTGTTTTTAATCCAATCTAATAAATTAATTGTCAAATTTCTCTTCGTATATTAAGCGACCGTTAATAACTTAATACTATATAAAGAATAAACTTGTCTCAAATTTACTTTACTTACTTCAAAACTATTTTAAAGTTAATAATAAAGTCTATTTAATAAATATATTCCCAAGAAATAAAACACACTACGCCTATGCACATATATATTGTTGAAGGAATCAACTAAAATATCATATTTCCCTCATTCCCATTCTTCCTAAGAACGTAAATATATGTAGACCAGCAAAATATTGATCAGTTTACCGATGTTTCAAACTATTCAATGAAGTTGTCTCACTATACACTCGTGAATTGCACCAATTTATATTGATACTGAGGCAAGTTTTATGGGGACTATCTTACTTTTTCACTTATTTACATGGGCGAAGCATAAACAGTAAAAATGACCCCGGTATGAATTTACTGTTGACATTTTACATGGTTGCCGCTACCGTTTAGTTGAATTTGTAGATTAGTTACCTTTAATTAAAAATTGTCCCACTATAACTATTAAACATTAAAAATTTCACTAAAAAGTTGCAAACTAGTTTGTTTATAAAAGATTTAAACATAATTATGTTTTGTACTTTAAAAAATCTGGTTAATGGAAGCTATATAACAACTCAAAACTTTTCAAAAAACATATGTAACTTTTAATAACACGCTCTGAAGCGGACTGTCAGCAAGCAGGGAATGCGGGTGCACGTAAAACGTGCACATAGGTATATCAATTTTTAATCAACTCGACAAGAATTAGCATAGAAACATTTACTAATACTTAAAATGCTCGTTTTGAATTGTTCTATAACGTTCATCAACCAAATTGTCAACATCTATGGTTCAATTTTGTTTAAAACTTCTATAAACAAATTAATTTTTCTTTTTACCGAAACTTTTAACGAAAATTTTAACTTAACTGCTATATCTGTAACTGTTTTATTTATAATGATAAAATATACATCTCTAAATCTAGATGATTTTACCTATGTAGTATGTATTGGTTTTATTCGCTGCGAGCTGACTGTGCGCCTCAGAACGCGTTATTAAAAGTTCACATCTTGGTTAAAAAATAACATTTACCAAAACTTGAAATGTTCGTTTGGACTTGTTTTATAACTTTCATTAGCTAGATTTCTGAAGTTTATAACTTAATGTTGTTTAAATCTCTTATAAAAAAATATAGTTCACGTCTTTTAGTGAAATTTTTACTGTTTATAACTTTTTTATTAATAAAGGTGATTTTGCAAAGCTTTTTTTAATTTTTAAGCAATTACCTATAAATTGAGGGAGTTTTGAAGATTAATCACACGTATGAGAGCTGTTATACTTGAAAAAACCCCATCGAATGCCAATTTTGCAAATGTTTTTTACGAAATTTATTATAACTCCGATTTTAACAATCGAATCAAAGTTAGCCAAACGTCATTTTGTCACCCCCTCCCCCCCCCCCTGGCACCTAGACTAAATATTTGTGTATCGAGTAGAAAGTTTTTGATAAGCTTGTATAATGTTGTTCTTATTTTTTTTATTTTCAGATGATCCTAATGACCATTTACTCATGAAACACACGTGTGTATACAAGACTAAACCAAAAACTATTGGATATGAGAGTTGAAATATTTGGTTAACTGAGTATTTTAAAAACCAAAGAAACTGTGTACAAGATTCTTATGTTAAACGATTTTATTTGTTGTTTTTATTTACAAATATATTTATCTTTATTTATTAACACTAAAATTTATTATTTTTTATTTATATATTTCCTTGGTTTGTGTGCTAAATACATTTTTGCAGAGAAATGTTTTATGAAGTAGTAAAATTAAAAATAAAATTAGTTATTCTTGAAATATCTTAACCTTTCACTGGATCATGTTGTTTAAAAACAGCATACTGGAAATTTGCATTTATTTTCATAATAGATAAAGCCAAATCAGCATGTGCATAATGTTTGCTCTAACAAGAACTAATAATACAGTACAGTTTACCAAAAATAGCTGAAAGTCTGAAAATAAAGACGCCCATGATGCGCATTCGTCATCCGATGGATCTCGCACTGAGCGTCTACTTAATGGGTGGAATGCATAAAAAGTAGTAGATGCTATTGCTTCAGCAAATAGTATCTGGTTTGTAGCGTTTACTTTTACATAAAAGGAGGTGCTTTGTTGAAAAGACCGTACTACACAACCGAAGTACTTGCTACTGACCTGAAGGTTCTACTACTAAACGTAACGCCAGCCGTAGTGCCCTCGTGCGCATCACACCAATCGTATCAGAACTACTTTTTCATGTGATTTTTCAACTTTTTATAAAGATTTTGTATTAATACCTAAATATATATACATATGCAGTAAGCTAAAAAGAGTCTTACCCGCTCCCTACTCTCCTACTTTCCCATTTAAAAAAATCAAAGTTATGACTGTCACCTGAAGAAGGATTGCTTAAAGTTCGAAACATTGATGCTATAATATACTATAATTATTTTAAAAATCGACCCCTTCGAGTGTTCTGCTTATATACTAAAAATAAATGAGTTAATATGAGGGGTTACACTTATTTCAGCGCACTGTATGAATAAAACTACACGATTCATGATAATTACCTGAATATTTTACGATAAACATCGTCATTGAATATTCTTCCTGGTTTGTAGATTTTTCTACGACGAACATTCTTAAATGCTGCCATTTAACAAACATAACAAAAAACACCTACGCCGAAGTTGTTTATCTACCAACTTCACCTAAACTGAAGCAAATTCTACTAAACTAGCAAATACTTCAAAAGCGTAGTACATTCTTCTATGTATCTGGTAAATAGTAGTAAATACTACGGAGGAAAGCAAAATACTTTGTAAGTGTAGCAAGTACTACAAAAATGTAGAATTACTTGAAGCATTAGCAGATACTACGTTTTATGCATTTCACCCAATGGGTGGAATGCATACAACGTAGTAGATGATATTGCTTCAGCAAATAGTATCTAGTTTGTAGCATTTTCTTTTACATAAAAGAAGGTGACAAAAGAATTAGGCGAGAACAACAAATGAACAAGTATTGTTTGTTAATCTTCTTGAAAATTATCAAATTTTATTTGATAAAAGAATGATCCCAAAAATTAAACATGAAAAGGAAGCTACATTGAATAACCTAACTGCTGCCCTTAATGAAATTATCGAAACAACCTGGATTCAAAAGCAATTATGAAGAAATTCAACAACATAAAACAAAGGTTAAAAAAGTTGTTGGCGTAAAAAAAACTGGTAACAAAAAAATCGTACTAGTGACTAGTACTAGTGGCTAGACTAAGTGACTAGCAAATAAAATTCTATGTTATGAAACATTTGAGAAAATCTAGTCTTGCACAGGGTATCAGGCGCTTGCCAGGCCGGTGTAACAGAGGAGATTGGGATTTCATCACATTGGGATAAAATAATGATGAAAATCTTCTTTTTAGCTCTAATTCTGGTTGCCAAAAACTATCAGGCAGAGCTCCTAAATATCCTATTGCGAAGGAGGAGTCGCTGTTTTAATTACAGAAGACCTGCTTACGAAAACAAATTGGAGCAGACCAAGCTTAAATTTCTTGTGCTCTTGTTCCTGAGCATGAATTGTATTATAATTTTCCTGAATAGGTGTGGTTGGATTTTTAAAAGGTGCCAAAAACCACAATGCAATACCATATCCTTCATCACCAATCAATCATCACATTATTATACATATTTCGATGCACTACCGAGTTTCGCCAAATTTGACTATCGTGCACGGAGACAGGCCAACTCGCATCTACACTGGTGAACATTTCTTGGGCGTTACAAGTAGCTTGTACATTCATGGAATATACTCCTTTTCTATTCACGTATTCTTCACCATGGATACGTAGCTTTGTTATTTTAACGTGGGTACAATCAATAGCACCTATAATATTGGGAATTTGCTTATTGGTATTTGCCCACTGATTGATAGCAAATTCAAATAACTCGTTAGTATTAGGAAATGTTATCCAGTTATTTCTCTTTAAGTAAATTGCTTCTGAAACATTTATCAAGGTTCTGGATAGAGTACTTTGGTTAACATTTAAATAAACAGCAACTCCCTGCTGATATCCTAATCCTGGATCTCCTAAAAAGGTAATATTTATATTTTTCAAAGTTTACAACTTATTTCCAAAACTAACCTAAACTTCTCAAAAATATCTCCATTTTCCGAGTGGGTGACAAGGCTCCACCTCTTGTTTCTACGGAATCGTCATAATCAAGAAAATGACTAGCAAGCCACTCTGCATTTTCTCTGTTGAATCGAAACACCAAAAAATATGAAAGTAATTTTTTATAAAGATTTTATATTAAAACCTAGTCCGCTGAAATAATACTTCCCGCCCTACTTTCCTACTTTCCCATTTAAAAAATCAAAGTTATGACTGTCACCTGAAGAAGGATTGCTTAAAGTTCGAAACATTGATACTATAATATATTGTGATTATTTTAAAAATCGACGTCTCCGAGCGTTTTGCTTATAATACTAAAAATAAATGAGTTTATATGAGGGGTAACACTTATTCCAGCGCACTGTATGAATAAAACTGCACGATTCATGATAATTACCTGATTATTTTACGATAAATATCGTCATTGTATATTCTTCCTGGTTTTTAGATTTTTGTACGACAAACGTTCAAAAATGCTGCATGCATTTTTTTAAGAAAAAACACCTACGCCGAAGTCGTTCGTCCACCAACTTCACCTAAACTGAAGCAAATTCTACTAAACTAGTAAATACTTTGAAAGCGTAGTACATCCTTCTATGTATCTAGTAAATAGTAGCAAATACTATGCAGGAAAGCAAAATGCTTTGTAAGTGTAGCAAGTACTACAAACATGTAGAATTACTTGAAGCATTAGAAGATACTACGTTTTATGCATTCTACCCAATATCTACCGTTTGTGACGTGAACAAGTCGGTACAGTCTTCGAAACATTTTTTTGTAAGTACGAACTGCAAAGAAGAGTAATTTCCAAATTTGCAAATCTGCGTTGTGTACCTATATTAAACATGGAGTTTAAATCGAATCCGAAGGAAAAAGTTTTAAGTAACCAGACACGGGAAGTAATACACAGTTTTATTTAGTTCTAGGCGGACGATTGTAGCAGTCGAAACGAAAAAATTTTTAATTTCCCGCCCTAATCATTTATAGGGCCCCTACACGCTCATTAATAATGACATTATAAAATATTTTGCATTCTAATTTTTAATATTTTATATTTAACTTAATTATGTAATACTAAATATCTCATTTTTTAAGAGTTTAGGTACACTTTTTTCATACGTTGAGTAAATATTCAAAGATAAAGGCCGCTTTTAACAAAAGGTACTGGTACAAAGACAGCATAATTATGCTTCACCGGAACCGAACATCTAATTTCTATTAGTATTGCATTAGACGATTTTATTACTACTTTATTACCCTACTGCTTATGCCCTTTTTCTCCGAAACCATTTGGTCAATATAATGGTAATATAAAGTATAAATGGTCAATATAAAAATATAATTTTTGGTTTATAATGCCATAATTTATATCACACGTTCGCGACGACGTGTGCCACCGGTGGTACATGCCTAACTTTTCATTCAACCGCTTGTGGCCACCGGTGGTACACGGTACCTTTCTATTTCTTAACTCTCTAAAACCTTACAGTTAATTGATATCTTGATAATATTGCGTACACACTTAAAGTATAGTTTTAAGTATATGGGTTTGCCGTCGTTTTGTCATACCATAATTTATATGGTCACTAATAAAACCAAAGAACAGCAGTAAAAATGGTTTATTAAAATTAAAATATCGTAGTATAACATAGATATTGTACAAAAAGAGATAATTTAAACTTATACAAAACTAGGTGGGTTTGTAAATTTCATTAAAGCAAGGAAGGCCTATAGTTGGTCTATTTTCACATGTATCACAGTATGTACACACTCTTTTTGTTTTTGTTCGGGCTGCTTTAATCCTTGTGTATCCTAAATTTTCTTATAACATGAAAAGCAGCATCTTTTTGTTTGTCTAGCACTACCTTAATATTTTTATATCTTGGGCTTTACCAAAGATAATTTTGGTTTTTTTTACTGAAACAATATCTGGTTCACGAGGACTTTTGTAACTTTACTTTGTAATAGTCCTTCAATAATTTTTTCGCCAATAGATAACATATTGCCTGTTTTAGGATCATTATCATAATTATTAAAAAGAACCCACGTATTTACTATGCATGTGCCAAGACAAATTTCGAGAAACACTTCTTGTACCACTTAATGTTTTTTCTTAACGGGTTATAATATGAAGACATTTGATCGGACAAGTCCACAACTTTCTTTGTCTTATTATACACAATAACCTCAGGTGGTTTTAGAATATCTTCAGTTTTTTGTCTGTTTTTTTTCCTGTCGGTTGGAGGTTTACTGTATGGCTGGGAACTGTACTAATCATTAATACAGGAAGTTTGTCCATCCATTTGGCAACTCTTATGCCCTCATCATTTTGTTTTCCATATATTTGCTCTCTCTTCCATTTTTTTTTTGACATACAGTTTTGAGATTTTTTTTTTGTTCTAAGATCTAAGAGTTCCGCAAACATATGTTTTACACTAAATAAACATTTTACATA